GGGGGGGGGGGGGGGGGGGGGGGCACAACGCTCGCGGGGGTACTCCAGGCCTGTGCGACCGATCAAACGAACACATCCGACCGCAGGCGGGCGTCGCCGCGCGCGATGCATGCATGCGCCTGTGTACCCGGGGCCCGGGGGCCGCCCGTCCCCAAGGGCCATGCACATGAAGCCCACATACGAACATCCACAGGGGGGGTGAGAGGGTATATTTCAAGGCAAAGCAGGTCCCCCGCACTGAGGCCAAGCCCGTCGGCCGGCGGCGGTGAGGGGGGGCTCCGGATCCGGGGACACCGCGGCACATCGGCGGAAGCCGGGGCACAGTGCGCGGTAGCACTGCAGGCGTGTGTGCGGGCGCATGCGCAGCACGCATGCACATGCATGGGCGACATGGACATCGAATATGCACAAAGGGCCGGGGCTCTAGGGGAGGGGGGGGGAGGGGGAGGGGGAGGGGGGCGCGCGTGTGTGTGAACTACAGCTCAATCGCGTTGGCCGGCTGGGGGATGGTGCTATCGCCGATGGGGGTGAGGCCGTTCTTCTGGCGGAAGTCGTCGGCCAGGTCCACCAGGTACCGGAAGTAGTTCTGCGCCTCCTTGGTGAGAACCACGCGGTCCTGGGCCGGCACGAGGCCGGAGCCGGTGCTGACGCCGGCCGGCCGGGCCACATGCACCCGCGACCGGTCGACATACCCGCGCCCGCCGGCGCCGGTGAGCAGATGCCGGTGGCTATCCGGCGAGAAGGCCGTGCAGGAGATGAGCTCCTCGTCGTCGGCGGTGAAATCCCCAATTGGCGCCAGCGCCGAGTAGACGTGTGCCTCGCATCCGTGCGCCGGGGTGATGTTGGCCACCGGCGAGATGAAGCGAGCCTGGTGGGGAGGCAGAGGGGGAGGGGGGGAGGGGGGGAGGTGAGCAGCGAAGACGCATGGACACCAGCAAATGGGTGCAGCGGCGGCGATCACGGCGGCGACCGGCGGCGACACGAGAGACGCACCAAAACCATGAAGATGATGGCCACCTGCCACAGCCAGCTGGGCATGAAGACACTGACCATGGGCGAGTGGACGAAGCCCGGCATGGCACAGATGGACCGCACGGTGCCGACCCCCGGGGCGCCGTACGACCGGGCCAGGCGCTCATTCAGGGCCACACTCAGCAGGGCCTCGCCATACTTGCTGGACTGGTAGGGAGCGTTGCTGTGATGTGCACAGTGGAAAGGGCAATGGCAGGTGAGCGACTGGGGAGGGAGGCGGGGAGGGGGTCGTGACACATGGAAGGTGGTCTGGCGCGCATGGGGCAGGGCGTCCCGGGAGATCGGCATGTGTGTATGCTAGAGAGAGAGAGAGAGAAAAAGAGAGAGCGAGCGAGGGGGGGAAGTCCATAGACGGGAGCACGCACCCCTTGATGCACTGCGGGTCACTCCAGGAGAACTTGTCCGCCATGCCGGTACTCGAGGAGGTCCAAACAACACGGCCGTTGTTGGCCTGGAGGAGGTGCGCGAACTCCTGGACCTGTGGGAGGGGGGATGCGTCAGGGTCGCATGCCGGGAGGCGCGAGGGGCACGGCATGGGGCAGGCAAGCACGCACCATGATGAAGTGCCCAAAGACATTGGCGGCGAACACCTCGCCGAGGCCGTCCTTGGTGACACGGCCGACCGGCTGGATGACAAGGTCCTCCCCGCCGGACATCATCAGGTACGGGATGCCGCGGAGCAGGGCACGCGGCAGGACCCCATACGCGATGCCGGTGTTCGGGAAGATGCCGGCATTGGCAAAGAGCCCATCCAGGCGGTTGTAACTTCCGGGCGCAAGGGGCGTCAGAAGACGTAGCATGGATGGCGGCGGCGGCGGCGGCGGGAGGAAGGGAAGCCGGGAGGGGAGAAGGACCTCCTTCATGGGGACGCACTGAGAGAGGAACCACTTGCAGAAAGTGAACACCGAGGCCGGGGAACTGACGTCGACGATGCCGATCTCCACCTGGGCATCGGGGTTTTGGGCGATGACTTCGTCGCGCGCGGCGCTGGCTCGGTCGCGGCTCCGGCAGGCCATGACGATCACGGGCTTCTGCTTGGTCCGAAGGGGGAGCTCGCGCACCAGGCGATGGACGAGCGCAAGGCCGACGCCACTGTGGGGCGACACGCCAGGGCAAGCGGCGGGGCACGGGCACCGGAGGAAGTCAGACGCTGAGGGCGTGGGCGGTGGTGGTGGTGGTGGTGGAGGAGGAGGAGGAGGAGGAGGAGGAGGAGCGAGGATGGCAAAGGGGGAAGATGTCAATGGCCGAGGAGGGACCTGTTGGAACCGGTGACGATGTAAACAGGGGGGCTGGACATCCTGAGCAGGGGGGGAGGCGGGGTGGCACACGCGCGGGAGCGAAGGAGTCGCAACAAGAGAAAAGGCCGAAGGGGGGGGAAGAGACGAGAGGCTGGCTGTGGGTACTGCCGGACGGAGGGGGGAAGGCCCCATGTGGCGGCCCTTCTACGCGGCGACTCTGCTAGGGGCTGGCCGGCGAGGCAGGGAAGGCCCAAGAGAAGGGGCGGACGCCAGATCGCGGGCGTGCGCGCGCGCACACGGAGATCGCACCGCGGCGCCGGCCACCTCCTTCCCCTGTGTGCGGCGTGCCGGACGGGGGGGGGGGGCAATCTGGCCGGGCCTCGTCGAGCACATCAGGCGAAGCACATCAGGCGATTCACGCGCGCGCGCGCGCGCGAACAGCGGGCTGACTCGGGCTGGCGGGGGGGGGGGGGGGGGGGGCGCCCTCGCACATGCGTCGCGGGACCCCCGGGGGCCGGGGCCTCCCCGTTGGGTGGGAGGCGTGCGCGCGGCGCCGGCTTTTCGGGTGAAAATGCCCGGTCCGAGGGGCGGTAAACAAAAGTTCGGTTTTTTTCGTTTGGGCGGCGTGATCTTGGCGCCGCACGTGCGCGGTTGTGGGTGTAACGCGCGCGCCGCGCGGCTGGAATGCCCCTTCCCCGCGGTGCGGCCGGGGTGGACACTGGCCGCGCTGGCGGCGAGCCCCCCCAGGGGGCGGCAGCGGCGCGCCGAACCGCCATGGATGCCGCGCAGCCGGGGCTTGCGCCGTGGAATGATCAACAAATGTCTCGCGGCCGGATGGCAGGGCCGTGGCGGCAGGTCGGCCTATTCTGCACCCGATGCCGGTGGCGGCGGCGACCGCGACCGCGGCAGTGGCAGTGGCAGTGGCGGCGGCGGCGAGCTCATGGGCAGGAGAGGGCGCGCGTGCGCGGGCAGGGGGTCTGGGGGGAGGGGGCCTCGCCTGCCAAGCGGCCTGAAATAGATCGGTCTCGGGGGGGAGGGGGGGGGGGGGGCGAACGAAAGGGTCCGGGTCGGCAGGCAGCCTGCCGGGCAGGTCCTCTTGGCCTCCTGGGTCGCCTCGCCGCCTCTCGGCACCCCGTGTGCCCCACCCGCACGGGCACATGCAATTCAGGCGTATATCGGCATGTGGCGAGAGCATGTAGGGTCGCCAGTTGGCATGAGGCTGTTGGCCGTCCTGGGCGCCGCGTGCGCTTCCCAACTGCCGGGTGTGTTGTGGCTGATGCCCGCTGGCGGGGGGCGGGGGGCGGGATGTGCCATGGCGCGCCGGTGGCTGGCGGCCCGCCACATGGCCACACCATGGGTCTGGCCGAGTCGAGCGAGGGCCACTCTCGTCGAGGAACAGGGCTGGCGGGCGGCATGCGCGCAGCAGTGAGACCCATGTGGCGCGGGAGGGACATACCGAGGTGCGTCGGGCCGAGAGGCGAGCGCCCGTGTGCCGCTTGGGCAGTTGCCCGCCCGGGGCCCAGCCGCGTGCCCGGCCCGGTGCCCGAAGTGGGTGGGGCTGAAGAGGAGCCTGGCGCCCTGCCCCGGCGTCCGTGACAAGGCATGTCATCCGCCTGCTCGCCCGCCCGCCCGCCCGCTCGTCTAGCTGCATTCCCCCGTGCTTGTCGCTTGTATCGTGCATAACGTCATCTTCCCCCCCCCCCTCCCTCCCCCCTGCCCGCCTGCCTCCGTGGACCCTCCCCCATGAAGCGCCATCTCCGCCTTCGGGCGGCCATCTCGGCGATCTTCCTGCTGGGCATCCTGGTCGGCCTGTCAATCGGCCCGGTGCTGCCTGGCTGGCGCCATGCCGATGACCGCAGGACCGCGCGCCCTCCCCGGGCCGAGGCCATGGCCGGCCGGGGTCCGGAGGCCGGAGCCGTCGCAGACCCGGTGTCACCGGCGCCGGGGCCCGGTGCGACAGCCGGCCGCCAGGCCGAAGGCACCGTGGCCCGGCTGCTGCAGCTGTATCGCGCCCTCGGCGACCGGGAGCAGGTCATCCGAGCCGAGCAGCGCCGCGCCTTCGCCGAGCAGGCCTCGCGGCCCGGGATCGGGCCATTTCGCCCGCCAGCCGGCGACGCGCCGGCCACCCTCGCCGACCGGGTGGCTGACTTGCTGCCCGGAGGACCCGACCACCAGGACGACTTGGGCTTCTTCTACTATGCCCAACGCAAGGTGGACCAGATTGTCTGGGAGGACCCGGGGCTCCGGAGCGCCCGGGCCACATCCCGACGCCGGGCTCTCGGGACCCTGCTGTCGCGCCTGGGGACCCTGCAATTCGTGGACCCGGGCCCGATCTTCCGGCAGCTGGAGCGTGACCTGGCCCTGCCCGGGGGGACTCTGTCGCCGGAGCGGGCCGGCCTGGCGCGGCCCCTGGACGGAGTCCCGTGCGAGCAGCGGCCGCTGCTCCTTTGCTCGCTGGACAAGGATTGTGGGTTCGGCTGCGTGGCGCACCATCTGGTCACCTGCCTGGCGGCAGCCCTGCACCTGGAGCGCACGCTGGTCATCCGCCCCCGGAGTATCCGCTATCGTGGCCGCGCCGACCGCGGCTGGTATGGTGCGTGCTCGTCGGGGAGGGAAGAGGGGGGGGGGGGCGGAGTTTGCGAGGCAGGCGCCGGGGCCCCATGTGGCACTTTGCCGCCGCCGCCGCCGCCGCCGCCGCCGCCCGTGCTGCGCCCTTTCTGACCGCCTTGCCGGGTGCGGAGCAGAGTTCTTCCAACGCATCGGCGACTGCGAGGCCCTCTACGATCCGCACGCGCCCTACTACCGCCATGGGCGCCCAAATGGGGAGCAGTACGCCAAACGCAAAAGCCACGAGAAAGGCCGCGCAGGGGCGGGGCGGGGCGGGGGGGGCTCCTGGAGATTCGCGGCCCGCGTGCGACACACCCGAAAGACATGCGCGCCCCTCTGACGATGCCGGCCCTCGGGGGGATGTGGCGGCCCGGCAGGGTGCTGCAGTTCCCCATCATCGATAGCTTTGTGGAGGTGCCGGACTTCCTGCCGCCGGCCCTGCCGGGCTACCTGTGGGACGCGGCCGCCGGGTTCCACTCGACGCCGGGCCGGTGGTATGTCGGCATGCTGGCCTGGTTCCTGATGAGGCCGACGCCGGCCTTCGCCGAGCAGCTGGCCAGCTATGCGTATGGGGCGGGGCTGCCGGGGGAGCCGGCCACCGGCGGCGACCGGCCCTATGTCGGGTGCGTGTGCGCGCGGTGGCGCATTGTGTGGGCCTTGCCTTGGCCGGTGCCGGCGCTGGCGCCCGGGCTAACACGGTTGTCGGCCGGGGCGGGCATGGTGTGCCGCAGGATTCACATCCGCCGGAGCGACAAGATCGGCGTCGAGGCGCAGCTGTACCCGACCGAGGAGTATGTGCGCGTGGCGCGGGGCTGGTTCGCCGACCACTACCCCGAGCAGGTGGCCCTGCTGCTGGTGGTGACCGACGACCCGGCGGCCGCGAGGGATTGCCTGTCCGGCCGGATGGGGCGACCGCTGGCCGTGGTGACCGACCCGGCGGCGGCCCAGCTGGCCGGCGACCTGGCCGAGCGCTATGGCCCGGCGGCCTTCGAGGCGGTGGTCCGGGACATCTTGCTCCTGGCCCGGGCCGGGCACCTGGTGTGCACCTTCAGCTCGCAGGTGTGCCGGCTGGCGTACGAGCTGAAGCTGGCCATGGACTCGCTGGATCCGGCCGGCGGCTGGAGTGCCGGGTCGTCGCCCGGCGGCCCGGGGCAGCGGTGTGCCATCGGGCGTGGTGCGCGCCACCGGCGCCTGGCGTGGGACTCGTCGCACGCGGCCGAGTCACTGGACGAGCCGTGGTACTTCGGCGGCGCGGCGCCGCGCCCGGGCCGGCTGGAAGGTACGCCCAGGCGCACCACCGCCACCCGCCACCGCCGCGCCACCCGCAGGCCAAGTGCCAAGACAATGGAGTGCCGGGGAGGGGGCGGGACCGGGGGGCATGCCCAGATCCGGCGCCGGGGCAGCCAGGCGGAAGGGAACGGAGGCGGAGGCGGGGGGGGGGGGCCATGACACTTGTGGGGGAAGCGTGTGTGTTCCCGGGGGCGGGAGGGCGAGGCAGCACCGGCCGGAAGGCGGAGAGAGATCCCCCCCCCTGTGGCGGACACTGACCTGCGCGCCCGCGCCGCGGGGCCCGTCGGCGGCTCCGCCACCAATGCCCCTTCCGCCGGCCCGGGGGGGAGACAGACCTGTGTGTTGTGCCGCCGAGCGTGCCGGTCTCCGCGCGGCTGAACGAGCACTTTCACCGCCAGCTTGCGATGGATCCGGCGGCCGGGCCGCAGGGCGCCGACGCGGCGGCCAACGAGGAGCCGCCCCAGGCGCTGGAGCAGCATGGCAAGTGCCGCCACCGGGGTCTCCGGCGCCCTGACGACGAGGCAAACATGCCGGCCAGCGCGGCGGATGGCGAGGATCGCGCGGATCCCCCCCCGGACCCGGTGGACGTCGGGGCCGCCGGGCCGTCATCGCCCGCCACCACCACCACCACCACCACGGCCCGGCCGCGCGACGAGGGCATCCGCCAATTCTGCGGCGCGGTGCCCGGGCGCGGGTTCCTGCTGGCCGGGACCCCGCTGACGGTGCTCAGCGACCTGGAAAACTATGCCCTCGGCTGGAAGACCTGCCTGGTGGTGCCGGCCGCCGCCCGGCCGGGGCGGGGCCGCGCCGATCGTGTGGAGCGCCTGAACGTGCCGCACTATCTGGTGCTCGGCATGTGATGCGCGGAATGCCATTCCCCGGCGTTGTTGTTGTTTTCTTCGGGGCCTGGCTTGCCCTTGGTGCTTTTCTCGGACGCGGGCGCCCGCCGCCGTCCCTTTGCCCCGGCCCGGCTGGTTGGGCCTTGTCCTGCTTGCGCTTGTCGTCTGCGGGCGGGACCCTGGGCTCCCCCCCCCCCCCCGCCCGTGAGGCTGGGCGCGAGGAGAAAACCGGCGAAATATTCGGGGCTTTAAAATAAACGCACTTCTTTTTTCCGTCTCTCTCCCGCCCTCTCGTTCGGAAGCTCCCTTTTCCGGACTGGGTGTCCTTGGCGTGGGGGGGGGGGGGGGCGTGTGCGCACGATACACACCCTTGTGCGTGCGCGTGCGAATGTGTGTGCATGCGGGCGTGCACAAGGGTGTGTATCGTGCGTCTCGCGACCGCGCCCACTGCAGCCACCGCCACCGCCACCGGGCCGGGGGAGGGGGGGGATCAGCCAAGCAGCAGTGTGGGGCGGGGGGGGGGCGGGGTACCGGGGTCAGGGGGGGGCCGGTGGGGGGGGGGTGGGCCCTTGTGGCCAGCCCCCCCCCCCCCCCCCCTGCTCTGTCCCTTGGTGCTGGTCGGGCCGGCCGTCTCTTCTCCGGCGGGGGCCGGCTAGGCCTGCGAGCCAGGCCGCCGGGGCGCTGGCAGCATGTCCACGCAGGGCTCGGCCGCGGCACGAGAGGCGGGGCGCCGGCCGCTGCAGGGGCCGGGCGGCGCGGGGATTGACCAAGTCAACAGCCCCCCCCCCCCGGTCTAGGCAGGAACATCCGGCGAGGCGACCGGGCATGCGGAGAGGGGCCAGGGTTCCTCTGCCCCCGGCGCCGGGGGCGGGGGCCGGCCGGCCGGCCAGCAGCGGCGCATTAGGGTCCGCGCCCTCTCTCGGCGCGCTCTCGCCCCGGGCGATGCATCGTGTGTGTGTGTATGTGTGTGTATGTGTGTGTATGTGTGTGGTGTAGGGCGCGCGCCGGCGCCCTGCTGGGCGCGCATGCGCTCGCGCACATTCGCCGCTTGCCCGCAGCTGGGGCCTGGCAGCGGGGGGCGGCGCGGCCACTGGTACAGGTTCCCCCGGGGACGGGTGCGGCCTTTTTCGCGTGCCGGCCTGGGGATGACTGGAGCCCGGGCGCGCTCCCGCAGGAGCCGGGAGCCGGGGGCGCCTCTCGCAGCAGCTGCCCAAGGGAGGGGGGGGGGGGCAGTCTCCCTGGGGAAACCAGTGCAGCGCGAGCACCGGGAAGTACCAGGCCAGGGCGGTGCCTACACGGTTGGACTGGCATCGGGGGGGGGGGGGGGCAAGTGAGCGCGCGCGCGCGGCCCTGGCCAACCCCCCTCGGCCGCCCGAGGAGGGGGGCTCTGGCCGGCGCGGGCCCCCACATCCAAGGCCCAGCGGGGTGGGGCCCCGCGCCCCCGGATCCGCGCGCGCCTGCTGGGCGCGGCCGGCCCCCACCGCGCCGTGTGCAGCGCAGGGACGCGGACCGCGCATCTGCCACGGCGCCGGGGGGCGGGGGGGGGACACGGCGGGGCCCGGGCCCAGGGTGCCGTGGACCGCGGTGCTCCCCCCCCCCGGCGTTCCCCAGGCGGAGCCGGGTGTGGAGGGGCCCGGGCCGGGGGAGGCGACTCTGCCACACCACCAGTGATGCGCGCAGGGTGGCTCTCGCCTGCCGGTCGGCCCCGGCGGGTGGAGGGGCCCCGGCGCGCTGCCGCACCAGGAGAAGAGGCACCGCCCCATATTCCCCCATCCCAGACGGATCCAGAGAATCACTCCCCTTCCCCCTTTCTGCTCAGTGATCCTTCCCCCCCCCCCACTGTGCGACCTCCCTCTCCCCTCCGTCTGTTCCGCCCCCTCCTTCCGCTCTGCTCCGGTTGCCCCTCGGTGCCGGCTGGCCCTTTTCCCTCTCGGGGCCTGCCCGGCGTGTTGCCGGCGCCGTCGGTATCCGGTTGCTGCTCTCCCTCCCTCCCCCCCCCTCTCTCTTTGCTTGTCTTCCCGCCTATCCTTTGCGCGTTGTTCCCTCCCTCCCTCCCTCTCTCTCTCTCTCTCCCTCTTCTTGCTCTTTTCTCACACACGCCTCCCCCTGCCCCGTCCCCGATCCACACGCGTCCCGTCGTCCCTCCCTCCCTCCCTCCCTCTCTCTCCCCCCTCCTGCCCTCCCTCTTTCTGCCTTTCGCCTCCCCTCATTTCTAATGCCCAGTCGCTCTCGCTCCCGTTCGCACCGACACAATGGCCTCAGTTAAGAAGATGGCTTCCACTAGCAACGAGTCGTCCCAGCTGGACAAGATGGTTGAGTTCATCACCAAGGAGGCTGAGGACAAGGCCAACATGATCACCTCCAGCTCCCTGGAGGAGGCCAGCACCGAGAAGAACAACCGCATCAACGCCGCCAAGATCCGCATTGATGCCACCCACGAGCGCCGCATCAAGCAGCTCGAGGTCCAGCGCAAGATGTGCGTCTGCCACTCCGGCGCCCCCTCCCCTTTGTTTCCCCCCCCCTCTCTCTCTCTCTGCCGTGTGTCCCTCTCCATTTTCTGCTGTCGCGCTGACCGTCCCGCTCGCGCCCCCGTCCCGCAGCGAGTACTCCAACGCCCTCAACAAGAACCGCCTGCTGGTCCTCAAGGCCCGCGAGGAGGCCCTTGTCAAGGTCTTCGACGAGACCTCCAAGCGCCTGACTTCTGTGCGTGCATTGTGTGCTTCCCCGCGCGCTCTCCCCCCCCTCCCCCATGCGCCCTCCGCCCTCCTCGCCCCCCGTCTCTCTCTCTCTCTCTCTCTCTCTCTCTCTCTCTCGGGCCCGGCCCCCCCTCCACCGCGTGCCTCCCTCTTGTGGTCCCTCCCTTTCATGTTCTGGCCGCTACCATGCGATGGACATCCGACACTGACCGCCTCTCTGCCCCACGCAGATCTCCGACAACATGGCTGTCTACAAGCCCCTCCTCAAGAACCTCCTGATCCAGGTGCGTGTGTGCACCCCGCCTTCTTCCCTCCCCGATGAGGCGCCGACTTGCTTCCGCTACTGACCGGCCATCCTCCTTCCCCTTTTTCCCCCCTTCTCCCCTCCTCTCCTCTGCCGTGCTTTTTCTTGCCCTCCCTCGTAGACTTTCTTCGCCCTCATGGACACCAAGGTCAACGTTGTCTGCCGCGCCAAGGACGCCGCTCTCGTCAAGGAGCTCATCCCCGAGGCCGTTGCCGCCTACGAGAAGGAGGCCCTCGGTCAGAAGATGGAGGCCACCGTCTGCACCCGTAACACCCTCCCCGAGGACAGCGCCGGTGGTGTCCTTGCCTACACTCCTGGTGGCAAGGTCCGCATTTCCAACACCCTGGAGTCCCGTCTTGAGCTCCTCCAGCAGGATGTGCGTTCTCTTGCCCCCCTCCCCCCCTTTCTCCCTCCCCCGCTGGTCTTCTGCCTCTCGACTCGCCACGGGCTTCTTCCTTCTACTGACCCTCGGCTCTCTTTCGCATCTTCTCCCCTCCCCTCCCCTCGCGCGCGCGTATGTGTGTGTGTGTGTGTGTGAATCGGCATATGCGCTCACAGATGCTCCCCGAGATCCGCCAGATGATGTTCGGCCCCAACCCCAACCGCACTCACTACGACTAAGCGCGTACTGTCCCCCTCCCCCCCCCTGTGTTTCTCTGTGCCTGTGTGTCATTCCCCGGGCATACCTGGCCTGCCTCTCCCTCCCGTATGGCGGCCTGTGCGTTGTCTGCGCGCGCGCGCGCGCGCGCGCATAGAGCACTCAAACAGCCCCCTCCCCCCTTTCTCCGCCCCCTCCCTCTCCCCCATCCCTCATAGTGCTGCCACCTGCTCTGTGGTACCATGGCGCGCGCGCGCCGTGTCCATGCGTGTGTGTGTCCCTCCCGCTACTCTCGGCCTTTCCATTCGCTGTATCACCCACGTGCGCCGGCACGCGGAAAGAACAAAGCAGGGCCACATGGCGCATGCGCACGCACCTCCCAAGGCGGGTGTGGTGGCCATGCCCTTCCCCATTTCTCTCTCCCCTCCCCCCCTCCCCCCTGTCTCACATACACACAGTACACCGTGGCGCTTTTGTGCCCTCCCTCTCCCCCCCCCTATTAATACACAACAAAATAGTTATTCTCTTCCCCTCTTTGCCCGCAACTCCTCCTCGGCCGGGGGTGGGGAGGGGGATGTGCACCGTGTGGCATCCAGATGGCCAGGTGCCTGTGTGGCCGCACTCGACTCCCCTTCCTGCGGGTCCATGTGTAGGTGCGAACGCCCAGGGCATCAGCCGATCTGTGTGTGCGTGCGTGTGTGTGTGTGTGTCTGTGTCTGTGTCTGTGTCTGTCTGTATGTAGTATATATGTATGTGATTCTGCGCGTGGAACTGTGGCGGCACACGGCGGCATCCTGACACAGATGGCCGAATGGGGGCGAGGAGTTGCGCAGGGCCGAGCGCACACGCACAGCCATGTATGCATGTATGCATGTATATATATACATGCGTGTGTGTATGAGTGTGCATGAGTGTGTATGTACATGCACATGCGTGCATGCGTGTGACCACATGCGCACATGCGCGTGTCCACATGCGTGCGTGCGTGCGTGCGTGTGTACACCGCACGGCCGAGCGTCGGGAATGGCTCAGCACCCGCACCCACCCGGGGCGTTGGGGTCCTTGTTGGCGGCCGGGTCGGCCGAATCGGCCTCGCTGCTCAGCATCGAGGACTCCAGGGTGACGGCTGAGGGGTTGTGTGTGTGTGGAGGGGGGGCACGCGGCCGCGGGAGTCAGGGCATGGTCAGATACTTTGCCAGGGGCGCAGGATAATGCCATCAGCAGGCAGGATCCCAGGACACGCACTTGTCGACTTGATGTCGGTGGTGGCGGCCGACTGCCCGGAAGTCGAGGCCCCAGAGCCCATCGTGTCGTCGGGCAGGGCATCGGCGATCTTCTTGAAGAGGGCCTATGCGCGCGCGCGCGCGCGCGTGCGGAGGGCACCAGGTGTTAGAGCCAGTGGGCCGCTTTTGACCGTTCCCCCCGGCCGCGAAGAAGAGGGGCCGCGAGGACAGAGTGGCAGAAGGGTCCGCGTGACAGTTGACCGCCCTGGCGCGTACCTTGACATTCCGGCCGCTCTTGGCCGAGGCCTCGGTGAACAGGGCCCCATACTGCTTGGCCTTCTCCTCGGCCTCGGAGGTGGACACTTGCCTGGGTGGACGGCACGCGATGGGCCACATGCAAAGGCATGAGGCGGGGGCGGGGGGAGGGGGGGGGGGGCGTGGGTTAGACACAGCGGCTGGGCGGCCCGGCTGCCCGCGATGCCCTCGTTTTTGCGTGTGCGCGCGCGCGCGCGCGCGGCCATGCGCACCTCTCGTCGGCCAGATCGGACTTGTTGCCGACAACCACCACGAGCACATCGTTGCCACGCTCAGCGCGGATATCCTCGATCCAACGCCCCACCGAGTGGAATGAGGAGGGGTCTATGTGCAGGTGCGCAAAGGGCGCGGGAGAGCGGGGGTGGGTGGGGGGGGGGAGGGCAAGAGAAAAGAAAAAGCAATGGCCGAATACAGGGAGTCAGCATCGGCGGCCGCCGGGAGGCACAAGGAGGAGGCTCCCGCACGCGGGGCTCCCCTGCCCTGCCGCTTCCAGCTCCCCCTCGGCGGGAGGAGGCAAAGTCGGAGGGGACCGGGGGTGGTATGATGGCACGCACTGGTCACATCGAAGACCACCACCGCCACACTGGAGTCGCGGATGTAGCTGGGGATCAAGGCCCGGAAGCGCTCCTGGCCAGCGGTGTCCCACAGCTGCAGGCGGATGGTGCGCTGCGGCATGTACAGCGTCTTGGACATGAAGTCGATGCCGATGGTGGCCTGGTAGTTATGGGTGAAGAAATCATACATGAAGCGTGTGATGAGGGATGTCTTGCCGACTGAAGGGGGGGGGGGGGCGAGGAAATCGGCGGTGAGCATCGACCGGCAGGCACAAGCACGGAGTTCAGCGCCGACGGCAGCCCGCACACATGCAGGCACACAAAAACACACGTACCACCCAAGTCGCCAAGGAAGACCAGCTTATACTTCTTGGGCCTGCCGGAGGAGCCGTTGCCAGACCGCGAGGGGGTCCCGGCGGCCGAGCCGCTTGGTCCAGCAGCTGGTGGCGATGTGGCTACGCTATCTGTGCTGGCAGACGCCGGGGTGCTGGCCGGGGGATTGGCCGACCCGGGCGCCGGGGCTCCGGTGGTGTTGGCCCCGGCCGGGGCATTCGCCTGCGCGGCAGTCGAGGCAGCAGCGGTCGACGCAGGATCCGACATGGCTGTGAGGGTGTTTTCCTGGAGCGACGGCGTGGTGCGGGAGAGCGGGGAGGGCCGAGAGGGGGAGGGGCAGGGGGAGAGCGAGAGCAGGGGGGGGGGGGTGGGGAGTCCAGCAGCTGGCAAAGGTCTGCCCAGCCACCCCGGGGCCTGGCCGTGTCACGGTGCCCTGTGAAGCCCCCGGGCCCGGCGGGGGCGGGCGCCTGCAAGGGGTGGCCTGCAGGCCCCCGCCAGGTGTGGCCCCTTTGGCAAGTTGGCCGGGCGGACACAGGGACAAATGGGCCACGATCGCGCTGCACCGCACCCGGGGGGAGGGCACCGGCCGGGCCACACGCCAGGCGAGCGAGATGGCTGGGGACATTTTCCCGGGCGCCGGATTGGCCCAAGGCTGCGCCGGTCTCGCCGTCCCCCCCCCCCCCCTTCCCGAGCGGTGGGGGTGCGTCGCCAGCGTGCACCCGTGCACGGACCCACACGGAGCCCGGAGCAGATCGGCCCCCCTCTGGCCGGGCCGAATTAATGTCACCCGTTCCCTCTTGGTCCAGTCTCGGGCCGCGCCTTGGCACGGTCAGTTCCGGCGGGGGGGGAGAACCACCCGCCGCGCGCAAGATCTCCCCGACTCGTGGCCGCTGAGGCCGCGGGGGGAGCTGTCACTGGCGGGCCAGGTGTTTTTTATTTTTTATCCTCCGCCGCCCCCTGCGCGCCCTGCGCCCTCCCCGCCCCGGCGATGATGCGGGGGAGGTGGCAGGGGCCCAGCGCGGGTTGGTGCGCAGATTAACACGCAGCCGCCGGCCGGTGTTATGTTCTTGGCCCCGTCTCTTGGGGCGGAAGGAATCTCCCGCTCTCCCGCCCTGGCGCGCGGGTTCTCTCGCCCCCCCGCGCCCCCTGTCTCTCGGTGGGCGAGCGCGGGCCCGATGTTCTGTCGACCGCGCAGAGCCCCCGGAGGCCGATCGTGTGACGTTGGGCGGCCGGCTCCCTCTCGCCGGCTGGCCGGCTCCCCCCTCTTCGGCGCCTGGCCGAGCAGAAGGGGCCTGGGCCGGCCGCGGGTGGCCGAGTTAGACCGGCCCGGAGGCGGCTGGGCGCGCCCTCGCCCCCCCCCCCCCTCACGCCGCTTTATACATGTATAAAGATGCACACGCCTGGACACACCACTCACACGCCGTGGTGGCATAAACAGATGACAGCTGGCCCTTCGCGGGGGCTGCAGCACGCACATGCTGCAAGGCCTCAGCACCGCAGCGCGAGAACACGCGCACTGGGCTGGTCACGCCGGGTCCCCGGGCCGATAAGGAGCCAACTGACTTGCGACGTTTTGTTTCCTGATTCGGAATGGCCGGCGCCGGCTAGCGGATTCGCTCCCAGGAGGCGCTCTCAGCCGGCCCATCAC